AGCAACTCTAGGTTTGAATTTGTTCTTCAGCTCCTTGAGCTTAAGAAATGCTGAGCGAGTTCGGCCCTTTTGATTTTCTGACTCTAGCTCCTCGCACATATCATTGTAGTATTTTGCTTTGTCATTCCGAGCTGCTGCTCGTTTGTGGCCTAACTGTAATCTGCTCTACCCTGGGGAAAAGCTGCTGGTCATGGTGTCTTATAAGAGCTTTGGAGACGTTTCCGACCTATCTCGTTCTACTCAGAAAGGCCAGCTGCAGTGTGAACCCAGAAGGGAAGTTTTTGTTTGCAGAAGTGTTTTTTGGTGTCTGTAATTACAACTGGGGGCATCCTAATGGTCTGTTCTATACATCCATCCTTCATAAACAGTATTTGTCAATCCATGCCAAACCCCACTGCCCTCATGTTGATCCAACTCAAAGCAACACTGCGGGACCTTGTAGAGCTGCCCACAGAGTTTCCAGAGCTGTGAATCTACAGAAGCAGATTTCCACAAGGCAGACACAAAACTGTTCTCTTCTCTGTGTTAAATGCCTGTGGAGAAGTGTTTTGTCACATGGTATTCTGGGTGATTTTAATTCTCAGAAAAGTCAGCACTTGTAAACCTCACCTTGGCATAGTTGAGCTCAGTAAGGCTGCAGCCAGGATGAAAGGCCCCAGCCCAGACCCCATGCTTCTAGCTCCCCACTGGCAACTTACTCTGACATGACTATGGCCACACTGGGGCTGGGGACAAGTGGTGGTTGGCATCCTGTTCTCCAAATGGGAAATCATGGTAGGGGCTTATTTGTGCTTCCTGTAAAGCAGAGTCTGGGTCTAGATCCCAGGGGCAGACACATGAGAGGGTCCTACAGGCTCGCTTCATCTCCAGGAAGTAGAAGCCTCAGCATCCCCTATGTCACGAGGTAGACTGGAGAGAATGTGGCCATTACGTTCCTGACTTGGGTGGCGTGATGTGTGCACTGCCTATGGCTCACATTAGCATCTGTGACTTTTGCAGTGTGATTTGTTCATCCAGGAGGGGGCCCGCCTAGGAAGGACCCCCGCTGAAGTGGTTTCCACCTGTGATATCACATTTGCCTGCGTGTCGGACCCGAAGGCCGCCAAGGATGTAAGGACCCCATTAGTCCTCTTCTCCCCTTCCCCTTCATGTGAAATCTGGTTCCCAGACAGCCGTCTCCCTCAGCAAGAGGCGCTGGCATCCAGGTTATACAATCCCCTATCATTCAGGATGCCCCAGAGATCTGTGTCCCACAGGGCTCCCAAGAGCAGTCCATGTATTTTAATGATGCATAATTTTTAACTCCTTTTTTTATACTTTGTGTAAAAGTTTAGAGAACAGGTTGGTTTTCCATTATACACTCCCCACATTACACTGTCACTCTTTCTGTTTGCACCCTGTGGTTCTTATCTCCATCATCCTTCTGTCCTCTCCCTTCCTGGCTATATGTATACTCCCTGGATGAATGCTCCCCTTCCACTCTGCTATGGCAGATTACTATTCGTGTATTCTTGTTGAGCTGCACACCTGGAATCTGCATGAGCCTTTGGGTTTTGTGCCAAGTATCTGTGTTTAGCTCTCATTGTGTTTGTGTTTCCAAGTCCACACAGAGGTGAAAGGAGGCGTGTTGGACCAGGGACAGATCTCATCCAAGTAAATCCAAAAGAAGCCCCCAAAATAAATACCATAGTCCTTTTTTCTTTTTTAGTTGCTAGATTTTTCATGAAGACACATACATCCTTCCTAAAGATGACTGGGAAAATTCTAGAACTACTGAGGGAGTTTTCCTGCCTACCTTTTTCAGTAGCTGTTTTTCTTCTGTCTTGATTTTTAACTTCTAACTGGGAAGTTTGCCTAGAGGTAGTAGGGTTTTATCTTGGGCCCAGGATCTTGGAGATCCTGAGCTATTGCTTCCAATTTGTGCCCTTATAGTTGGTGCTGGGTCCCAGTGGTGTGCTGCAAGGGATCCGGCCTGGGAAGTGCTATGTGGACATGTCAACAGTGGATGCAGACACAGTCACCGAGCTGGCCCAGGTAACAGCCTGACGTACTCCTCCAATGAATGGCCTTTCTATTAGAGCGTGAGATCTCAAGCAGCTACACCCAAGTGTGGGCAGCTGAAGACCCGAAGCCTGGGGTCATCTGTATCACCCGCATGCACTGTGGGAGGTTGCTATCCAGCGTTCTGGCCATGGTCTCTCTCTCTGCCTCTTGGCTGCCAGCATGGCTGTTTTTGTTGGAGTGGCTTTTGCCATTGAGAGGATGAAATGTCCCTCCTCCCCTAGCCCCTAGGCCCAAGCAGGGAATAGTGACTTCTGGACCCTAAGTGTGTTCTCAGGAGACTGAGGCCAGGGAAGCAGCGTCCATGGTGATAGTGTGCAGGCACTGACAGCATGGTCAGAAGCCCAAAGGCCATGGCCACGGCCACTGAGGTCAGAGCCAACTCATAGTGGCCCTCCAGTGGATTCCTGAGGCTTGCAGTCCTTATGACTGTCCATCTTTATCTTGAAGAGCAGCTGGTAGATTTGAACTACTGACTTTTTGTCTAGCTCCACACATACGACATACGTATTTAAGCCACCAAGGTGTGAAGGATATCCTGTGGTCTTGTAAGATATGTAGTAAGTGCCTGCGAGGCAGTCCTAGGGTTTCTGTTTACGTCCCCGTGATTTTGCCATCCATGGCTCTGGGAACGAACTCAATGGATGACCCACAGCTCACACTCCTTACCTTTCTTGGGATCTGTTGAGAAAATGTGCCCCATTGGATCGTATGTGCTCTCTGACCCTATGGGGGATGGTGGGTGACCTTCCATTTCAGGTGATTGTGTCCAGGGGGGGACGCTTTCTGGAAGCCCCCGTTTCAGGGAACCAGCAGCTTTCTAACGATGGGATGCTAGTGATCTTGGCAGCTGGAGACCGGGGCCTGTATGAGGACTGCAGCAGCTGCTTCCAGGCCATGGGGAAGACCTCCTTCTTCCTAGGTAGTGTGCCTGCCAAAAACATCAGGTCCCGTGCCCTTCCACCCCATGCAGCCTCTGCCAGAGCTGTGGGGGGCTCCCTCCGATGTGCACAGAGAAAAGGAGGACCCAGTCCTCAGGGGCAAGTGCACAGGTTCCCATCACCCCCAGGTGTTGAAGAGGGAGAGAGGTGGGGGCAGAAAGTCTCTACCTGCAGACATAACCTTGATTCTCTGCAGGTGAGGTTGGAAATGCAGCCAAGATGATGCTGATTGTGAACATGGTCCAGGGGAGCTTCATGGCCACCATCGCTGAGGGCTTGACTCTGGCCCAGGTGACAGGCCAATCCCAGCAGACGCTCTTGGACATCCTCAATCAGGGACAGTTGGCCAGCATCTTCCTGGACCAGAAGTGCCAAAGTAAAGTTGCTTTTGGCCCCCTCTCTGCACCTCTGACTAGTTCACTGTAGCGGGGAGCTGGGACAAGCAGCTGCCTCCTATCACAGGCCAGTGTCTTCTGCCAACCCTTCTGGGGATGAAAGAAGGACTCAACTGACCAGAGGACTTCTAGAGAGGATTAGGGTGGGATTAGAGGGTCTGAAGGTACAGGAATGTCCGAGAGGGTTGCACATGTTAGGAATGCTAGGTTGCTAACCCTGACCACTGTAGATGTATTCTTGTCACAATCCTTTTCTCCCTTCTAATGAACATTTTTCCTTCCTTAGATATCCTACAAGGGAACTTTAAGCCTGACTTCTACCTGAAGTACATTCAGAAGGATCTGCGCTTAGCCATCGCACTAGGTGATGCTGTCAACCACCCTACTCCAATGGCAGCTGCAGCCAATGAGGTACTAGCCCCAGTCAGCAGATCAAAGGTGGTCCCTTTTGAAGGGCCCATGGGTGGCTCAGGTCGGAACAGCTCCTCTGCCAGTGCCTTCAGAACTTCTGTCTCCCTGACTGGGGATTTGTTGATTGGAAACAGGGTTTTGTACATTTCTTTGCAAGGTATGGATTTTCTTACAACTTGACTTGTGTAGGTTTAGGCCTGTCCTGTCCTCAGCAAGTTAACTAGCTGCTTCTTCTATCATTGTCATGGCTTCATTTGGAGCTGCCATTTTGTCATTTATTTCTATTTGGCTCTCTGTTGCTTGTGCTGGTTGTTCCGCCTTCTCTGTTTTCCTTTGAATTACCTAAGTGGTGTTTTTTTTTGGTGGTTTTTTTTTTATTTTTTTTTTTTTAGAATTCCTGCTTACTCTCATACCACTGCATGTAAAATGCAGAAACCTTATAACCATTTAAAAAAACAAAAACAACTCCTAGCCATCGAGTTAATTCCAGTGCACATCAGCATACACGGCAGATTAGAAGAAATGCCACATAGGGTTTCCAAGGTCGTAAATCTTTACAGGACCAGACTGCCTCATCTCTCCTGAGGAGCTCATTACTCCACCTAGACACCATTACAGCCATTGTAGGTCCATTTACAAAACCCTGTCTGGGGGTGGGGCAAGAAGCCTTGGTGGCAGAGTGTATAACATGCCAGGATGTTGATCAAAAGCTAGCTAGCTTTGAATCCACCAGCCACTCCAGGGGAGAGAAATGGGCTGTTTCCTTCCTATAAACATTTTCCATCTTAGAAACCTGATGGAGAGTGACTATAAGTCAGAACCAATTCAGCAGCACTATTTTTTTTTTAATGTTTGGAATCCTTAGCAATGCGATTTCTCAACCTCTGCAGTCTTGGCTTTTGTCTGCTAAATGATAATAGCATCCCCTCAGCTGTGAAAGCCAGAACGTCCCAGCCATTGCACAGGTAGAGTTATTTACCTGTGTTTTAAACCCCTAAAAATATGCTTTCTAATCATATTCATACCAAAGAAATGAAAAGGTAATGTTTTTATTTTAATTTTAATTATTATTATTGAAATTATTTTAATTTTTTAATTTTATTTTGAGTGAAAGTTTATAGAGCATGTTAGTTTTCCTTTCCAGCCACTCATACCAATTATTATAACTTTGTTTATATCCCCACATTATAGCCACAAACTTCTTGCCCATACATCTTTGTATCTTCCCTTCTTTTAGCAATATTGTGCTAATTATCCTCTTACATGTGCTGCCTTTCCCTTCACTCGGCTTAGTAAATGCCTGTGGTCTCTTTAGTGGAGGACTGGTGGTCTAGAGGTAAGAAGCTGTGCAGCAATCCCAAAGGCAGGTGGTTTGAGTCCACTAGATGTTCCACAGGAACAGGATGGGCAGTCTCCTTTCATGCAATTTACTGCCTCTGAAAACCTGCTGGAAAGTCAGCTATGGAACAGTTCTGACTCAACAGCACACAGTAACAACAACCACCTTTTTAAGGGCGTGCTGGTGGCCTAATGTTAAGAAATTGCACTGCCAACCAAAAGGCAAGGAGGTTTGAATCCACCAGTTGCTCTGAGAGAGAAAGATGGACAATCTTCTTGTATAGTTTACTGCCTCTGAAAACTTATTGGAGAGTCAGCAATGAGTTGGTTATGATTGGACAGCACACAACAGCAGCACTATCTTTTTACTGATATTTTTCTTACCATCTTCAGTAATCCTCCAAGAGCTTTTCCTTACTAACAGTGGACTGTTTATGATAGAGTTCTCATTCCTAGTGCTTTGCTAGATGCCTTCCTGCAGAACCAAAATTCCGCCTAGTGTGTGCCCGAAGAATTTTTGGCTTGTCTTGTAATGCACATCTGCTGGCGGTGAATCCTCTTTGTTTTTTTTGACCTGGAAAGGTCTCATTTGAGCCTTGTTGATGGCTGTGGTCTTGGTGATGTTGGGGTCTGTTTTTATTTCCATCACTGTAAAAATGGGAGCCCATTGTTACTAACCTCCATACTAGTTTATTTGCAAAATTTGAATATATTGTTCTTTGAGAACAGAGTCTTCCAATTTCCCTCACCCTCCCACCCATCAAATTATTTAACTTCATGACTAATCCCTCCTTCCCCCTGTGCATCCTCATCCCTCTGCTGCTTCTGGTGTGACATACTCCATATCTTTTCTTGTCGTCAGATACCAGGAGCCCAAACACACTTCCTTCAAGTCAGTTCTGATGCATGGCAGCCTCTGTTGGGTTTCTGAGACCATGAGTCTTTACAGGAGCAGACTGTCTTATCTTCTCCCATAGAATGGCTGGGGGATTCAAACCTCTGTTATCCTATACATAACAGTCTTTGATCTCCTTTCACCTCCTTTCTTCTGGATAATTTTTTTATCTTAGATACTGTGTTCTTCACTCCTTAAGATATGCACTTGTCTCTTTGTATACTCTCTTTCTCTGCCAAGATTTCCTTCCTAGAGAATGTATTTTCCTCTGTGGCCTGAGTGTAAGAAGTGCTTCTAAACGACATTGTAGTCTCCCTGGGGTAATTCCCCATCATTTGTTGTATGTGTGAAAATGGATCATGTAGCTTGTTTTCTTCTTCACATACTGTGATTTAGAAGCATATCCTGGATATGGTGTGAACACTCAAAATTCTGCCTTTTTTTCAGTGAAGAGCCCTGATTTCTGTTGTCATTGTGATTGCAAGCAGTTAACCTGGTTAGATGCAAAGTTCTCAGCAGGAACTAGAACCTGAATTTAGTTCTCTGGCACAGTCAGACCACCATGTGAACGTTTCAGGGTCTGCCAGATGCGTGGGCAGAGTTCACGTGTGAAATCTTTGGAGGCCCTTTCCAGTTGCATGTCCCTTTCAGGACCCAGCCCTCTCCTCTGTGTTGCCCCAGGCTCTGCCTCAGGTTCTGCTGGCTACCTTGCCTCTGCAGGCTACAGCTCCCCCTCAGACCAACCAGGAAAACATCATGCTGCTGCTTGAGTCCCTGAAGAGCCTGGAAGTTCTAGAGGTGACTGGTAGAAAGGTTGATCTACTGGGAGCTTATTTGGCTGTTTTGAGTCTCCAGGCTCTCCCAGCCTCTTTGCTGCCCATTAAAAACAAACCCACTACCCTCACACCATTTCTAACTCACAAGGACGCTATGAAACAGTAAACTGCCCCCTAGAGTTTCCAAGGCTGCATCTGAACAGAAGCCCACCTCTCCATTTGTCTTCTGCAGGATAGCTAGTGAGTTCAAACCACCAGCATTACAGTTAACAGCTACAGTCTATAACTACTGTGTCACCACCAAGGCTCCTTTTTTGATGGAAAAAGAGTCAAAATAAACAAGTAAACAAGTAAAAATTTCACAAAGTAAGAAATAGAAGCCAGCCACCAGAGGCCATTGAGCTGGTAGGCAGGGGCCAGCCACATAGAGAACTGTGTCATCGAGAGCAGAGCAGGGACAAAGGCCACAGAGAAGAAGAAGGAGGGCCCATTGCCATAATGACTGTCCTGCTGCTCACTCCAGCCTTTTCATGCATCTCCTCTTCATACTGCCTAGGTGAAGCAGAGGCACTCAGTGCTTTGTCCAGAGTCAGGCCAGCTGGACTTCAGAAGCCCCTGAGCTGGCCCCAGAGAACCAAGTCTGTGTCTTTGGTCACTACCACGGCCAGACCTTGATCCCCTTGCCTTGTTTTCCAGGTGTACAAGAGAGCCAAGGCGCTGGACCAGTCTGACAATGACATGTCTGCCGTCTACCGAGCCTACATACACTAACCCATCAGCACCCCCAGCCCCACCAGCGTGCCCTCTGACCATCACCCCCATTCGAGGTCAGGGACTCAACTCTGGACCAGTCTGTCTGTCTCCATTTCCTTTTCTACAGACTCTGAGAATCGCTGTCAGTACGACACTGCTGCCCTGGCAGTCTCGAGGCAGGACTGCTAGCAAGTCTGGCCAGCAGGAGAAAGCTGGGCACTGGTCCCTCCCTCTCCCAAGACTAGGTGACTGTGTACATAGACACACACAGAGGCTACTGTCTCAGGATAGAAGCTGCTGCCTGGCTCTTTTCCCCCCTTTCTTTATTTCAAGCTTGTTTTCTCAAACTCCTTCAAATGGAAGAATTAGAATCAGCAGTAAGAGCTGAAACATTCCCCACAGCTTCCCCTGGAGCAAGGAGACAAGTGTCACTCCATGGGCATGTCCCTGCATTGGACATTCCCACAAATCCTATCACAGGGAGATTGGGCTAGCAAGACTCTAGGCAGGGTCTTCAACCACCAGCCTAGGTGGTCACCTGAGGACTTTCTGGTTCAAAGATCCTCAGTGTGCAGCCACCTCCTCGTATGTCCTTGTTAGAGACAGATACTGGCTCCTTGAGAATCAGGGCAACAAGACTGACCTGAGCATGGGCCTTCTGGATGTCCTGCGCCCTCTCTGCTGCCCAACCTCAGCCCTCTTGGAGTCCCCAGGCAGGGATCCATGGGCTGGGCTGAGTTCTTGCATCAGTGGGGCAAGGACTTGCTTCTTGGCTTGCTCTCAGTATTTGGATTTGCATTCCAGCCCTTGGGAACAAGGTCCCAAGAGCCACCAGGGGTGAAGAGTGAGGGCAAGATGCATGCCCTCCTGTTGCCATTATGCCCCACACTCTCCCACTGACTCTGGAGGGCCACTCTGCCTGGCCTCACAGCCCACCGCCACCATGTGTGTGTCCCCTGCATGCTATCCTTCCCTCTCCAACCCTGTGGACAGTCCTCCTGGGTCAGTCTCTGGCCCAGCCCGTTTGGCAAGCTGTGTCTAGGCTCAACTCTTGCCTTTCCGTCCTGCCTACAGCATCATCCTGAGGGTATCAAGCAGCCAGCCGTGCCTGAGCTATCCTCTAGAAATAACTCAGGCATCCCTAGAACCCAGCTTTCCTTCTTGGCTGGGAGTCTGCTCCTGCCTTTCCCTCAGTAGGGGTGGGTGTGTGGGGTTTCTTCCAAAGTTACAATTTGTAGAATGTGGGCATTGCTATGGAAAGAGGTAATTATATATAAATATATAGCCAGTGGGTCCCTGCACCCTGCAGCCTTGGCCTGTGCAGGGTCAGGCATCACAAGGCCTTGCCAGGCAGCCAGGACTGTCACCATTTGTGACCTTACTGGGTTAGGAGTCCTTTTCTGTCTGAAGAAGAAACCAGACCCATGGGGATGGGTGGGGAAAGCGACAGAGGGTATAAGAAAACCAGTTCATCAGTGTTGTCTTAATATTGTTGACACTTATGTAAAGTTACTTTTCATGAGTATTTCTGTTTAAACTATTTCACCTTTTGTTTGTAAAACCTTCCCCTTTTGAGGAGAAAATGTGAGACTTGTGGTAGGGGTCGGATCAGGGGAAACTGTAAGAAAAGCCCTTCTTTACCCACCCACCTGTTTTCCTTTAAACCTTTCAGTGACAAATCTAGGTAATTAAGGTTGTGAATTTTTGGGGTTTTTTGCTTTGTTTTTAATGAACATTCGTCTTTCAAAATAGGATTGTGTGATAATGTTTAAATGGAAAAAAAATAATTAAAAAGCCCACATGATTTTTGTGCAATTAACACAGAGCTACTGCAAGAAAAATAAAACATTTCTTGGTAACACTTGCGCAACATGAGTGGATTAATTGGCCTGGGTGACCAAGGAACGCAGGTGGGGAGGGGGGAGAGGCAAACGAAGGTCCCTGGTCAGCCAATTGGGCGACTGAACAAGGACAGGCAGCTGCGGCTGCCAAAGGCCTGGTGCAGCGAAACCCTTACATCAGCCAAACGCTGTGTGCAACAAAGTGGAGCGCCCAATCAGAGCTGTGGAAGGGCCGGACATCGTGGTAGCAGGCACAAATACTGAGCCTCAAGCGGGACCAAATCTGAAGCCAGTGGTAAGCAGCCAATCGGCAGCCCGGGGACTGGGTGAGGGCGGAGCCGGCTACCATTCGGCCAATTGGCGGGTGGAAAAGGAGTGGCGCGGTGGACGCAGATGAGCGGCAGGCCTCTGGCAGGGGATAGACGTTCCGGGTCTGTTGGTGATGGCGACGGTGATGGCAGCGTCGATGACCGAGCGCGCGGTCCTGGTGCGCGTGGCCGGGGCGCGGGAGGCCAGGTGGGCGTCCCTAGGCCGGCCGCTGACCACATCTGTCTCACCAGGAAGAGGAGTTTCGCTGGCTGCTGCACGATGAGGTGCACGCAGTGCTCAAGCAGCTGCAGGACATCCTCAAGGTAACGCCTGATGCCCAAGCAGGGCTCCCCACACAGGAAGGCCAGGCCCCAGACAGAAAGCAGTCCTAGTTGTGTCGTGGCTAAGTGATGGGCTGCGGACTCAGAGATCCTCAGTTCAAATGCACCCAGCAGCTCTGAAGGAGCCAGAGCTGAAAACATTCTTCCTCTCAGTAAGATTGACAGCCTCAGAAACCAGGTGGAGTGTCACTATGAGTCAGAATCTATTCCATTCCAGTGGTTTTGGTGTTCTTTTTAAATCTTTACAGAAGCCAATGTCTAGCCTTTCGATTACAGCCAAGTGTTTTATCACTATTACTAGGCCGCTTCCAGAGGAAAAACCCACCAGGGCAAATCTACTCTGGTCATGTGGAGCCATCATGACTAAAGATCTGCTCAGTAGCACCAAGAAACCACACACAAGTGTATCGGCAGCATTGCCACACTTGCTAGAGATCTGATAAAGGGGACAGCCTCCTCGAAGAATCACCCCCCCTCTAACATAATCTGGGGAGAATTAGACCACAGCTGCAGAATAGATTCTGACTCCACGACTCTAAAAGGACTGGATAGATCTTGTAGTTAGCAGCTGTGTCCTTTAACCACAGTGTCACTAGAGTTCCTTGAAAGAGCTGACATTCCGTGAGACCTGAAGGATTACTTCTCTCTGGAGCAGTAGTGAACCTCAACCTGATTGCTCAATCCTTGGAGCCGGGGTTTCCTTATTTGCAAAGAGAGACCAGCTTCTGCCTCCTGGGGCAGTTTCAGTATAAACAGGGTGGTCAAGATTTCCTTATGTGCAAAGAGAGACCAGTTTCTGCCCCCTGGGGCAGTGTCCATATAAACAGGGTGGTCAACCCAGAAAAAATGTGCTCCAGTGACTGCTGTTATAATTTCCTGGTTGCCTTTCCGCCCCAGCACAGCAGATAAGCTCTTGGCCTGCGTGCCCCATGTTTGGCATCAGGAGCTCTGCTGACAGCGTGGTTTTAGAGAAGTTGCTTGGTGTTCATCCACCAGGCACTCCATAGGAAGATCACAGCCCTGGAAGTGCTGTGGGGCAGTGCAACTCTGTCCTTCCGGGATGCTCAATGGCAGGGGTTTGTTTTGGGCTTTAACAGTTCATGAAGGAGGCCCTGATGGCACAGCAGTTAAAGTGTTCAATGGTGAGTCAAGAGTAGTAGTTTAAATTCACTAGCTGCTCCTCAGGAGAAAGAGGCAAGGCAGTTCTCCATCCATGGGCAGGGTGTATAGGAGTGGGACATGGATGGTGGTGGGATCTGATGCCACGGTCATGGAAAGGGGTAGGGCTGCCACTGGTGCCCTGATACATCACCAGCTAGCCCACCTTGTTCCCCTACACTCCTGGTTAGCGTGGCTGAAGCTGGAAGCTGCTCTGCTTCCATCCCTGCACTTTCTCCCTTCTGCTCTTCAGGAAGCCGCTCTCCGCTTCACGCTATCGGGAACAGGCACTGAGGGACCAGCCAAGCAAGAAAGCTTTGTCTTGGGCAGCTGCAGGTGAGCCTGGGTCAGGACTGGAACCGACAGAGCATATTGTTCTGTACCTTTGTTAATCATAACCAGTTGAAACCATATCTTGGGAAATGTCAAGGTCAGCTGGCAGAACGTAGTCCACAAAGACAGTGTTACACATCTTGACTTTGGTGTGTAGCAGAGTCTCAAAAGCTTTCATGCAGCCATCTAATGTGCAACTAAGATCTCTCCCTGGTGAAAACAGAGAAGAGGGAAGAAAATCGAAGTTGCACAAAAGAATAGATTCAAACCCCAACTTCCACCACCATGAGACCAGGATAACTAATTGGTACCAGCTGCCACCACTGACTGCTCTAAAAAGCAACACAGCCTCATGTCCTGCACAGAGTGTTAAAAACATGGAGCCAAACTGAATGAATCTTGGTTGCATGTTTGATCATTTCAGACCACAAGAGTTGCTAGGAATTGTCTGTTTTCTTTTCCTTGGCTTTAGTTGGTGGTGAGTATTTTTGAATGATATTGATATTAACAGGTTTTCCTTGTACGCATGTGGATACATGTCACCTACAGTGACTTAAAAATGGCTAAACTTGTTGGTCAGCTAGAGACAGGTGGAACCCTTGAGACTGTTGACATTGTTTGAATTCGGAACAAAGCTAACCACCACCCTCCTCGTGACTCACTTTGAAAGGGAGGAAAAAGAATCCTTGCTGGGGAGGGGGATCTGGAGACAGGAGGCCCCACCTGTGGCCATTTTGTGACATGGGCATTATCATTTGGAGGGTGAACTGTGGGTGCCACCCTGACCCCTTTGTATTTGTTACTTGCAGCACAGACCAGGTGAAGGGCGTGCTGACTCTGCAGGGGGATGCGCTGAGCCAGGCGGTGAGTCCTAGTCCTTGTCCACATCCCTTCAACCAACGGGAAAGAGCACGGGGTTCTCGTGAGTGGCAGTGTGTGGCTCTGGATTTCTGTGTCCTCGTTTTCGAGTGGCACTCTACCAGCACCCGCTCCAGGATTGGTCCATGAGTTTGATGAGAAGGAGCCAGCTCTGCACAGCCTGGCACCAGATCTACGCAACACTACTGCAACTGGCCCCTGGCCCCGTCTTGCACACAGCCACCTGCTTCCTCTTGGCTAAGGCCGCCTTTCCACTACTCCTTCCCTCCTTTCTTGATCTCTCTCTTTCCTTCCTCTGCTTTGTGGTTCCCCTTGGGGCTGTTCCCCAGCCATCCTCCAGCTGGCCAAGGTTTGGGACAACCCAGCCTAAGCCACCACCCAGCCCTCCCCGACCCCCAGCAGGATGTGAACTTGAAGATGCCCCGACACAGCCAGCTTCTGCACTTTGCCTTCCGAGAGGACAAGCAGTGGAAGCTGCAGCAGGTGACGTGGCCCTTGGCCAACCCCCAGGCTGATCAGCTTGGCACAGCGAAGTCAGCCTGGACAGTTCCTGGGCTCCTCGGGCACTTCTAAAAAGGGGGAAGGCTGCCTGCAAGGAACCACAGAGCTCTCCTTCCCATAGCAGCTAAGCTGAGCACTCATACTTTCCCTGAATAAGGCACACCCTTGGCCCAGACCTCCAGGGATAAGTACACACCCCTTCCCCTCTCCAGTGAACCCACGCCAGTCCTGTCACCCAGCCTGGCTGCCAAGCCCATGACACTCTGATGGGATGAACTGAGCCAGACAGTAGCTGTCCCTCACCCTTCCCCTGAGACAGACCCTCAGGGTGAAGGCCCAGCTGTGGACACTGTTCAGATCCAGCCAGAATAGGCCCTCAGGGTGGGAGCCCAGTGACCAGGCTGTGGGCACTGTTTTCAGATCCAGGACACCCGGAACCATGTGAGCCAGGCCATTTACCTCCTCACCAACCGGGATGAGAACTACCAGTTCAAGACAGGAGCTGAGGTCCTCAAGGTGAGCCCCACGGACACCTGGCTGCAGGTCAGCCTTTGCTACCAGCCTGGCTTTCTACAGGCAGGCCCAGCCCATAGTCTTCACTGTGCCTGTACTGTCTCACTTTGCTGCCTCAGCTTGCCTCTATCCTCTCTCATGAGCTAGAACTGGCTGCAGAGGCAGCATGGTGATTGGGAGGTGCACTGGTATGACCTGTAGCCAGCAGTCTCCATTCCACCTGCCATGGTCAGGTGACTATTGAGGATACACAGGTCCCTGTGGTTTTTCAGGGCCTAGTGGGGTATGTGTCACGTTGCTAGCCAGAGATTGACCATTCAGATCCACCAGTTTAGGAGCCTTGTTAGCATTTCAGTCTCAAATTCACTAGCTGTTCTTTGGGAGGAAGATGAGCAGTCTCCTTGTTTAAAGATAGGCAAGCTTGGAAAGTCACCAGGAGTTGGGATCAGCCCATCACAGTGTATGTTTGGCACAGGGCTGTTTAGTGAGCAGTGACATGTTGAAGTCTCATGAGACTGGAAGTGAGCATGTGCTACAGGGAAAATGGCAGCAATTGGTTTGCTCAACACAGTGTTGTCACAAAGCCTTAATCTGAAGAGCCCAGTAAGTGGGGATCCAATGGGGCCTTGGGCTCCTGCTTGCCTCAGCCCTGACAAGCTGTATCCTCAGATCATCCTTTCTGAAAGAACTGGAACCAGATAAACAGGTGCCTTACAAAACTGGCACCCTGTGGGGTGGATATCCCCAGATCTAGGCCACCCATGTGGCTATGACTGCAGCTATGACCAGTTGTGAGGGTCAGCCAGAGATGGGCCAAGGGCAGGCTCCTCTGTCACCAGCTGTGTGGCCATGACCATGAGGCTTCTGAACCTTAGTCATCATATGAAAACAGCAGTGCTTACCTTAAGGACTCATCTCAGCTACCTCCATCACCTTCTCCAAGAAGCTCTCCCAGATCTGCACATCTTAGCCAGATGGGGGCAGGGCTCCTTTCCAGTTCCTTCAGTATCACCCCTGAAGGGTCTACACCTGGAGTCATAACTTCTCGTTGGAGGACAAGCTTCCTGAGTGGGTATGCCCTGGTCCCCAGCTGAAGCCCGACCCTGTGACTACCAGCTCCCTCTGTAGGGGTCCAGGAACCAGGGGCTTAAGAGCAGGGACAGGACATCCTCATGACCTGGCTCACCCTACAAGTTTCCTAAGCCTGGAGCAGCAGCCTGAGGTCTGCTGTGTGACCCACCTGTCCCTTGCTCCCACCCCCAGCTGATGGATGCTGTGATGTTGCAGCTGACAAGAGCTCGGAACCGGCTCACCACACCAGCCACCCTCACCCTGCCTGAGCTGGCTGCCAGTGGGCTCACGGTCAGTGCCTCTGCACCAGGAAGGCCTAAAGCCCCATCTGGAATCCTACACAATGTTCTGGGGTGGGACAATTTATTTCTGTCTCACACACCCCTTAACATGCCAACGGTCAGGGTTGCCTGTACCAGGGCACCCAGGGAATTTCAACCTGGCCCGCCCTGCCCTGGGAGAGGTGTCTAGAGGATAGGGTACAGTCCTTTTACTGTCCATCCCTGAACCCTGCACCCCACAGCGGATGTTTGCCCCTTCCCTGCCCTCGGACCTACTGGTGAACGTGTACATCAACCTTAACAAGCTATGTCTGACAGTGTACCAGCTGCACACCCTGCAGCCGAACTCCGCCAAGGTGAGGCTTCCTGCAGCCTGCCTGAGCTCCCAGGTCCCCCTGCCCAGCCCCACTTGCGGCCAGTGACCTCAGCATGGTCCTGTCTGATGGGACCTGCTCTTTTCCCTAGAATTTCCGTCCCTCTGGAGGTGCTGTACTGCACAGCCCAGGAGCCATGTTGTGAGTGTGGCCAGACGGGTCAGGGTGGGAGGACTGGACCTCCTAACAGTGGCCAGTCTGGAACACGTAGGCACCTGTGTCCCCCACAGTGAATGGGGCTCCCAGCGGCTGGAGGTGAGTCACGTGTACAAAGTGGAATGTGTGATCCCCTGGCTCAATGACGCACTGGTCTTCTTCACTGTCTGTCTGCAGCTTTGTCAGCAGCTCAAGGACAAGGTGGGGGACTGGCTATGTGGGACTGTGTCATACAGTGTGAGGATGGGTTTTGAGGAGCTATATCACAAAGTGTGGGGATGAGGCTATGAAGGGTTTTATCACAGTGTGGGGATAGAGGCTAAGAGGGGCTGTGTCATACAGGGTGGGGACGGGCTGTGAGGAGTGGTGGTGTACAGTGAGGGTGGGATTTGAGGGGCTGTGTCGTACAGTGTGGGGACAAGCTGTGAGGGGTTCTCTCACATAGTGTGGGGATAGGGGTTGTGTCATACAGGGACCATGAGGGGCTCTCTGTCACACTATATGAGAACTGGGCCTGTGAGGTACTTTGTTGCAGTAGGGGACTGGGACTGAGGGGTTGTGTCATACATTGTGGGAACCAGCAGCAAGATGGCTGCTGAGACCTCAGAGCCTTTGCCTGTAAGGAGGGGGCCTAGACTCCTGTCACACCCCTAAGAGCCCTCAGATCTGAGACCCATTGGGTCTGCTCTAGATAGCACAGCTGGGCATCACCCCTCCCCAGCACTATGCTTTGTGGACCTGGACCACTACCCCATCAAGAGGGTATGGCCACGCTGGGGTCTGAGAGCTAAGCTCTCTGGTGATGATCGCTCTGCCAACCACACCCCACTTGCCCCATCCCCAGGTCTCCGTGTTCTCCAGCTACTGGAGTTACAGACCCTTCTGAGCTGAGTGCTGGAGAGCCTGCTATTCCCCAGATCTCATCTCTGCCCCCAAAGGGGCGCTCCAGATGCCCTCCTTGCCCACACGCCACATCTGAACTCTGGAGCCAGGAGTCTGGGCACTGTGAACTGGACTGTTTACTGTCACCCCACCGCCCCACCCTTCACATCACATTAGTCCTGGGAGGTCAGGTCAAGGGAGGTCCTTATCCCCAGTTCCACCCCCCATGGGACCTTTGGACTTGCTGTGGGAGAGTCTACCTGAGAATTGGAGGGAAGGAGAGAAGTGATGGATTGGCCAAACAAGCCCCTGAGAAATAAAGCTCAGCTAACATGTCCAGAGTAACCCATATCTGTTGGTCTGTCTGTTCATCTGTGTGTATCCAGCCTGGGAATCTCCAGAGGTCAGCATTCAGGTGTGGGTAGGCTTAAAAGGAGCAAGTGGTGTAAGCCCTGGACCCCTTCCCCACTCCTGTGCTCAAATGATAAGAGTTCCCAGCCTCACCCAGGGCCTGGTTAGTTATGGGTGGCAGCTCTTGGAAGTTCAGTCCCCAGGTTGTGAGATGAGCAAGCCATTGCCAGGCTGCTCACCAAAAGGTTTGTTTGAATCTACAAGCTGTGGGAGAATGGTGGGACAGTTTCCTCCCTTCATAGCCTTGTAACCCGACAGAGTCACTGTACCCAGTAGTCTCAATGGTAGTGTGTTTGGTTTGAGTTTTCTGGTTCCCTCCCATAGCCTGGTACCCCTGGGGATGCCAGACAAGCATCCAAGTCAAGCAGCAAGGCCCTGCTTCAGGCACTTCCACCAGGAGGCTGCCAGCAAACCAACTCCAGCAGAACAGGCGCTGACTTGTCCAGGCAACAGGACACAGGATGGGCTGGCAGGGCTGTGCTTCATGGTTCCAGGGCATAGTTGTCCACTCCCTTGTGGTTCTGCTGTGGACAACAGGTCACATGATGGCACTCATGGCCTGGGAGGCCAGTGCCCCTCCCCCATGGACAAGTACCAGGCATCCAGCACCCCACCCTCATGGACAGGTGCCAGACAGCCACCAGTTCACCTCCGCGGGGCTCACCTGGGACCTGGGGGCATAGCAGCAGCAGCAGCAGCAGATGAAAACCAGCAGCAGCAGGAACAGCACAGTCCCTGGGGACAGAGACTGTTCAGACCTGTCTCTCCTCCTGGGGCTGGCCAGGGACACTGGGCTTGGGCCACACTCACCAAGAAAGGTGAGGAAGATAACAAAAGCAGCTGTGTCCCACTCAGACTGGAAGGGTTGGCGACTCTTCAGTTTACCCAAGACGTCCTGGACTGTGGCCTCCAGCTCCCGTCCCAGGTCTTCGGCCGATAGAGCCATCTCAACTCCTACTCACCCAGCAAGGCCACTTCAGAAACAGACTCCTGGGGGCTGGCAATACCCAGGCAAACACTGCCCCACATCAGATGTGCACATTCTGTATCGTGTCCTGTCCTTGACTCTGCCCAGAAGACTGAGCTCACCACCCCCAATACCTGGCCTCCTGCTCACAACTTGGGCCCACCCTTCTTCCTTCCCTGGTTTAGGTCAAGGCAGCCCTCACTCCCACTACAGGACCACCCCTAGACCCTTACCTGCTACTAGGAAGCAGACAGGCTCCCTGAGCCAGACAGATCCTGGATTCTGCAAGCAAAGACTGCTTCCTACTTCCTGATCCTCATCCACCTGAGGTCTTGGCAACAAGCCCCACCCCCTCTAGGGACAGCCAGGCACTGCCAGAGCTCAAGAGAGGTGGGGCCCAGTGCAGCCCTCCCCCAACGCCAAAAGGTGTGTGCCTACCTCCAACAAGTATGTGCCTGCTTCCAACGTGTGCACTTGCCTCCCACAGGTTTGCACCTCTTAACAGATATTGCAGGACCCAGCATGCAGGAGGCAATTAGCATTTATTTCTGGGATTACATACATCATTTGTTCTCAGTATTTCAAATGGTCTGGTACCCAGGAGACCTCAGCCCTAGAGAACTTCCTAATGGAGAGGGAGGGAGAAGACAGGAGGAAAGGGAGAATTTATTTGTATCCTGCCATAATTCTTTGAGGAAGCCCTGATGGCTTAGTGGTAAGGAACTACACTGCCAACCCAAAGGCATGCAGTTCACATCCACTAACTACTACTGTGCAGGAGACACAGGCAGCTTCTGAAAATCCACCATGTTGTGGAATGTTGGGGAGAAAGGGAAGGCCTCTGGCCAGGACAGATTGCCTAAGCTCTAGATAAGTGCAAGTCTCCCCACGGCCTTTAATACGGGTCAGAGAACGCTCCCCTGTGTTTGGCTGTACCAGGCTTGCCACCTGGGAAGATGACTGCTGCATCTGTTGAGCTGGGAGTGGTCCACATGAGGCTGAGGTTCTCCTAACCAATCTGCATGTCCCATGTCTATAAGCCCACCCTAGTCTTCCTGTTTATATAAGTGCACTGCAGATCCCAGTAAAATTGTCTCTGATCCTCCCCGGAGTGTGCTTAACCTCATCAGGGTGCCGGCAAACTGACAGCAACACCACCAGAGGATTGTGAGGAAGCTGAAGTGGCTTCAGTTAAGTCTGGCTACCAACCTCCAAGGTCAGAGGCTGAACCCTCCCAGCAGCCTCAGTTCCATGGGAGGACTGTGGGGGTCCTGTCTCGAAAGCCCTGTGGGGTGGTCCCACTGTGGACCACAGGGCAATGGAGACAGGTTTGGGGTTTGGTTGGGCTCCTTAGCCTAGATATTTCTGGCATCTTGCTAGAAATTTCTGCAGTCCAGTCTCCACTCATACTTTCCTACCTTTTAAGCTTTGTCTCTGGGTGAATGCTGCTCTTTAGATCATGGTTAGTTGTGGGGAGTGTTCATCTCTCCTGTAAATATTCACTGCAGGAAGAATTCCTTTTAGAAGGATTAGCACAGAGTTGTTAATAGTTCCTGGGAGGCCAAGGTTAAAGATATCTCAAATATCCAGCTTTACTTTTTTTAAAAAAATTATTTTTCACTTCAGTGAACATCTACAGAGATTTTGGAATTCCATTCATTCATTGTTGCACCCCTCTCCCCGCCACCCCCACCCCCATATCCAGCTTTTCTAAACTGCTGTCCCTCATCTGGAACACTCCTCCCTTAGCTCTCTCCCTGCTGCTTTTGCCCTTGACTTCCACACTTCCCTATATCATCTCACTGAAGAGCACATAGCCTCAGGGCAAGCCCCATTCAGCTGTGGAGGCTCCAGTGTCTGTCTGAACACTCCCAGCCCTGGGGCCACAGGCTGACAAGTGGCAGGTGGCCAGGCTAGACAAGCACTGAAGCTCTGAGTTGGTGGCTCAGTCAGGTCAGGTGCAAGACCTAGAGAGTGACTCCAGTCCTCTCAGCACATATATGTAATGTGTTGTAGACTACACCCCACGGGAACAGACCCACTTCCACTCTCTCCCACCTCATCAACACAATAGCTCCCTCCAGAATACAGCAGGCACATCCCACAATGGAGGACCCTGGCTGGCACGGCTGTGCTAAGTAAATACCTTGTCCCATTATCAGACTGTGTCTTGATTCTCTAGTGCTGCTATAACATACCACACAGTGGTGGCCTTAACAAAGAGAAATGTATTCTCTTAGAGTTTAGGAAGCCAAAAGTCTTAAGTTTAGGGTGCCAGCTCTAGGGGAAGGACCTCCCTTTGTCAGTTCACTCTTTGCCTCCCACTGTCTAGGTTGTTAGGGACCATAACTCCTAGTAAGCCCTTGTACAAGAGCACAAAACTGGTAGTTCCATACTCACCTTCTGTGTTATGTTTGATTCCATTGTTTCTTCCACTGTGTTCATGTCTCTTCTGCTGACACTACCTAGCATGAGGGACTGTGACCCTCACTTGTAAAGAACATTCTAGCTGTACCTCTTTCAAGACAAATTGGTTTATTCTTCTGACAGTCCATAGTTTATAATCCACCTCTCTTGGACTGAGTAGAGAAGCAAAAATCAATGATGTTCTCTGGAGAGAGAAGGAGACAGCAGTTAAACTCTTACAGAGGCTGGCAAATCCCAAATCTGAGGACTGAAAATCAAGCCAGTAGCTTCTCGTGACACAGCCCATGATGCCAAGCACTAAGGCAGGCTAAGGCACCACTGAAATCAAATGATGGCAATCCAGATGCAGGATCCGAATGCAGCAAAAAGCTTTACCAGATGTCCAAGCATGTTTGATGCAGGCCACACCCCCTTCTGAAGCACCCTTCTCCAGCTGACTGACTACTTACACCTGTTCTCATCATGGAAGGGATTACATTGTATCAGAGGAAATAACTACATTGCATGAGCTCTCATCAAAGGAATGACTACTTCATAACTGCCACAACATATCTCAGGTAGTCAGGAACCAAACCTGAAACCATAACACCACTGTATATACATTTCCTCAGTTCTTTCTTGTGGCAATCCTGAAGTGAGGGCTATTGCTGTCCTCATTTTGTTGTTAGGTATCATCAAGTCGATTACAGCCCACAGAAACCACAGGTCTGAACCCTGCTCTATCCTATGCCATCCTTACACACTAAAGCCCAGCATAGCAATCATTGTGTCATCTACCTGGTTGAGAGTCTTCCTTTCCTTTGCCACCCTTGGCCTTTCCATGTGTAACATCCCTCTCCAAGGAATAGCCTCTCCTAGCAAAATGCCCAAAGTATAAGAGGCAAAGCTTTATCAAAGAGTGCTCTGCTGCACTTTCTCTAAGACCTACATATTTGTCATTTTGACAGTCCATGGGATGTTCAGCACTCTTCCCCAGCACCAAATCTCAAAGGCATCAATTCTTCTGTCATGTTTATTCATTGTCCAGCTTTCAAATGCATAGCAAGAAAGAACATGGCCTAGATCAGATGCACTTTAGTCCTCAAACTGATCTCATTACTCCTCAGTAATTTGGAGAGGTCCCTGACTGCAGAGTTTCCCAGGGCAATACATCTGACTTCCTGACTGCTGGTGCCAGAGGTGTTAATTGCGGATCCAAGTAAGATGAAGCTGTTTACAATTTCAATCTTTTTTCCCTCTTTCATGATGTTGGCAATAGGTCCAGAGATAAGAATTTTTGTTTTCTTGATGTCGTGATGCAATCCATGTTGAAGGATTTTCTGCAAATCCTTCGATTTTCTGCAATAACTGCTTCAAGCCCTCTTCACTTTCAGTAAGTAAGGTTGTGTCATCTACATAATGCAGGTTATTAATGAGCCTCTGATACTGATGCCACATTCTTCACAGAGTCCATGTTCTTGAATAATTTGCTTAGTACACAAAGTGACTAGCACAGCAGATTTTCTGAATGCAATTAGTCTTTTGATTTCCTGGCTACTGGTCCCAAGAGTGTTGATTTTGGAGCCATGCAAACTGAAGCTGTTAACAATCTCAATCTCTTCACCTTCTATCATGATTTTGCCATTCTGCCCAGTGGTGAGAATCTTTGTTTTCTTGCTATTGAGCCTGAATCCATATTGAAGGCTGCAGTCCTTGACCTTCTGCAGCAAATGCCTCAGGTCCTCCTCTGTTTCAGCAAGCAAGGTTATGTAATCTGCATTACTCAGGCTGTTGATAAGTCTTCCTCCAATTATGATGCCCAGACTTCCGGATGATTTGTTCTGCATATTGATTGAAACCATATGGAGATAGGATGCATTCCTGGTGTACACCTTTCCTTATTTTGAGCCATACAGTGTTTCTTTGCTCCGTTTTGATGACTGCCTCCTGATTCAAGTATAGGTTCCACATTTAAGCACAATCAAGTGTTCTGGGATTCCCATTCTTAGAGTCAGCCACAATTTGCTGTAATCCATACAGTCAGATGCCTTTGCATAGCCAATGAAGCACAGATAGACATTCCTCTGGTACTCTGCTTTCAGCCAAGATCCTTCTAACGTTAGCTATAATATCCCTAGTACCGTGGCCTCTCCTACACCCAGTATCCACATTTTTTGATAAGTTGTGCCAGTCGTTTTTGAATAATTTTCAGCAGGATCTTGCTTGCGTGTGATATTAGTGATGTTGTTGTGTGTGTTGAGTCACTGGCGACTCACAGTGACTCTATGTACAATAGTCCTGAAACCTGCTCTATCCTGTGCCAACCTTATTGTCTCTGCCCACCTACCCCCATTACCCAGTCACTGAATCAACCTATCTCATTGAGGATCGTTACCTCCTGCGCTGTCCCTCCACCCTTCCAAGCATGATGTCCCTCTCCAAGGACTCCTTGCAACATTCCCAAAGTATGTCAGATGAAGCCTCAAAATCTTTGCTTCCAAAGTGAAGCCTGGTTTCACCCTCTCCCGGATGGACCTGTTTGTTCTGCTGGCAGCCCAGGATATAACTAAAAA